ATTTGCATTCCAAACAAAATTTTCTAACACCTTCATGATGCTGTTGTTCAACCTTCATCATTTTTCAAGTTGTAAAACAAAAGAAAGGAAGGATACAGCAGGTTAAAGTATGTTAGAAATTAACAGCAATTATCATACCCTTGATAAGATCAATTTTACCATTAGCTTGGAATTGTTTCAACAATTTCTGCCGAGGGTCTGCAGCTATTAAGTTTGGGGAACAGAACAAATCCTTTTGTGCCACAAATTTTCAAAGTGAATACCATGAGTTATGGTGTTATTTAGCACAGCTACATCTAGTGGATGCATAACATAACCAAGCAACTACTGTAGCTTCTATTCTATGTGCCTTATAGTGTGGTGTGCCTTATATATGAAGGACATTTTTATATAGCAATTTGTTTAAGGTGGGCCTTATAATGCAGTTCGCCTTATAGTGCAGAAAATATGGTAAATACAGGCCCTAAAGAGAAGGAGCCTAAATTAAACAAAACCTACAAGCCTGATTTTAAGAAGTAAAGAGAAGAATATAGAGATTATTTAAAATTAAAAAAATGTAAGTACAGATAGCCAACACTTCTACTTAAGCAAGGTATCAGAGTATTCATACTTAACACCTCTGGATGTGGTGGATGTTAGGAAACCAATGTAGTTTGTTGTTTTTATTAACAAGCTATTTTTGTATCTTTTAGAACCTCTTCCTTCACCAGGAAAACTTTTGGAAGTCGATGCTGAAATTGTGGGAACTCACCAGTGCAAATGTGATTACAGTAAGATAGACGATGACGTCATCACTGACAACATGATATGTGCTGGGTTTCGTGAAGGAGGAAAGGGACCTTGTTTTGTAAGTCCTAAGTATTTTCATAATTTTTTGTTATTTTCTGCTCTTGTTTTTTCTAATAACCTCCAATGATTCGGTCTTAAAGGGAGATTCTGGAGGTCCACTCGTGAGCCAGCAGGGTGATCGCTGGATTTTGGCTGGTGTTGTGAGTTTCGGTGTTGGTTGCAATGCGCCAAACTTCCCATCAGTCTATGCAAGAGTGTCCCAGTTTGAGAGCTGGATTAAAAGCCACATCACCAGAAACCGGCCAGGCTTTCTCACTTTTGTGTCTAACAACACAGAGGATGTCCTAAACTCTTCCTGTACAACTCCTGCCCTGACCCCAGCAATAAATATATCTGAAGGTCAGGAGCCCCGGAAACTGATAGGCTATATGTTAGGGTTTGTTAACAATTGTCAAGATTTAGACAAAATTTATTGTCATTTTGTATACAAAGAGTGTAAACAAAACGAAATGTTGTTTTTACTGCTTTCTAACCTGAATCAGCAGCAGCTTAGCAATGAAAATGAACATTTTCGTTTATAAACTTCAGCATTGATCAAAATGTAGTGAGAGACATAAGTGTTAAAATAAATAAATAGATATGGTGCAAAATGCAGTAGAAACACTGAGTTCAGTTCTATTTGAAGATTCACCATGTAGTGCAAATATGATGTTATCAGTGTGATGCAGAGTCTCGATTTGTGACTTGATTGGAGTTTCCAAACAGTATGCTGGGAGGTGTGAAGGACAAACGATTTGGACATCAGATGTTTTGAATGAAAAAAAAAATTAAAATCAATTAATCAATTGAGGGCCCGGTGGCGCCAGTGTACGGCAGCCCCGCTCCTGTCAGTGAGCCCCAGGGCAGCTGTGGCTACAATGTAGCTTGCCACTATCAGTGTGTGAGTGTGTGTGTGAATGGGTGAATGAATGTAGTGTAAAGTGCCTTGGTCAAGTCTTCTAACTTGAATAAAGGCGCTATATAAGTACATGCCATTTACCATAATCCATATTTTTTTATGTGTTTTTGAATAACTATTTTTTGAAACTGCAATTTTGGTTTAGTATCAAAATAACCACCATGACTTCAGTCACATTTCGTGTTCTATCTACCCAGCTTGAACTGCCTGTTCTGTTACTTTACATTCAAAATAGACAACATATAATTTATCTGGCTTTAGGGACAATGATTGTGATAAACATCTTTAACATCCTTCTATGTTCCATAACAGCTGCAACAAGTTCCACTAAAAAAAGATCAGCTTTACCTTATTTTGAAGCTCAGGCAGACTTCTCAGATCTGTTTAAGGATACTAGTGTGATATGAAATCCCACAGGTGGATATATTTCAGAACATATTCACTGAAGCAATTAACCGAAAAGGTTATATGAAACTATTTAACATTAACATACAGAGAGTTTACCATTGTTGACTATTATACTGACACAAACTTGCAAGTGTTCAGTCTCACTGCTGCTACTTGTTGTTGTTTATCTATCAGTGCATAGCTAAAGCTGTTTCAAGGTTTAATTGATTTTTTTTCTCAGTGTGTGGTCAACCATCACTCAACAGCAGGATTGTTGGAGGAGAGACCGCTGCTCCTGGCAGCTGGCCTTGGCAGGTAAGTCTGCACATCTTCGACCACTTCTGTGGAGGATCTCTGGTTACTGACCAGTGGGTGCTGACTGCTGCGCACTGTGTTGAAAGGTAAGCAACAAGAGTCAACCCCTAACTCAGAGATAGTAGGGGCAAATTTCATAAACCAATTCAAATTCAACAAATAAACACTTGTGAGATGGAAACTAAAATGACAAATGTTGGCAATGAGTTTATAAAAAAAATCATAAAAACAAGCTTTGGTATTCGGTAACTTTCTTTAACATAGAATATGATTGCCATTTCCATTAAATCATGATTTTAAGACTACAAACTGGTTTTAAATGTATCACATTTCTGTTTTAACAGGTTTGGTAGCAATCCAGCTGGTCTGAGGGTGTATCTGGGTCGACAGGTTCAGAATGGGTCCAACCCAAATGAAGTCACCCGGACAGTATACAAGATCATTCTTCACCCTGACTATGATCCTTTTGTCATTGACAACGACATTGCTCTTCTGAAATTGTCTTTACCAGTGAATTTCACCAGCTACATCTCACCAGTCTGTCTAGCTGCCTCAGACAGCACCTTCTACAGCGGGGTTGAGTCCTGGGTAACCGGTTGGGGAAACGTTGGAATTTTTGGTAATTAAAACACAACTGACTTTATTTTAAAATCAGAAAGGCATCAACATAGTACTGACAGTTCCATGATATTGTCACACAATTATTTTATTCTCTTAATTTCTTTAGTCAACAAACTGAATATGTGATTCCTTTAGACTTCCTTCCATCCCCTGGAAACCTTTTGGAAGTGGAGGCTCAGATTGTGGGAAATGGTCAATGCAGGTGTGACTATAGTGACCTGGGTTTTTTAAGTATTACAGACAACATGATATGTGCTGGGTTTCAAGAAGGAGGGAAGGGACCCTGCTTTGTAAGTCTTAACTATTTTTAGCATTTTTGTTTTCTGCTCTTATTCCTTCTTCTGACCTGCTGTAAACAATTTGTTTCTGCTCTTAAAGGGAGATTCTGGAGGTCCACTGGTTAGTAAGCAGGGCGATCGCTGGATTCAGGCTGGAGTTGTGAGTTTCGGTGTTGGTTGTGCTAAGCCATTTTTCCCAGCAGTCTATGCAAGAGTTTCCCAGTACAATGAGTGGATAAACAGCCACATCACCAGAAACCAGCCGGGCTTTATCACCTTTAAATCCAACGGGAGTGAAAGTGATTTCAATGTTTCCTGTACAAAACCAACCTTTGACCCAGTGATAGTAAACATATCTGAAGGTACGACAAAACACAATCTCATTAGCCCCCTTTCCACTGGCTTCACTTGGCCTTAATCCACTCAACTACAGCCATTATTAAATGTCTATTGCTGCTTTTTCCGTACCGCTGATGGCTTTATATTGCCCTGCTCATAAGTAGGTACGATCAGAAAAAGGAAGTAATTACTAAAACATTTAGTCATTTGATGGGTTTGACCAGACTAAAAGGAGTTAGTAGAAAAGGGGCAATTGTTAACAACTTAATAGTTTCACACAAGAAGTTTTGCATTCATGATAATAAAGGATTCCAGTTTAGCATACTGGTCTTAGATCAGTTTTACTGATTGATAATGAATTGCTTAATCAAATCTTTTTCAGTGTGTGGTCAACCGTCACTAAACACCAGGATTGTTGGAGGACAGGCAGCTCCTCCAGGCAGCTGGCCTTGGCAGGTCAGTCTGCACATCTACGACCACTTCTGTGGAGGATCTCTGATTAGCGACCAGTGGGTGCTGACTGCTGCTCATTGTGTCCAAGGGTAAGCAAAAGCACAAGAGTCAACACCTCACTCAAGAGCCAGGTTGCTTGTGGGTTTGAAATGTAGTAGTAAAGTAGGAGATTTGTTTGATGGTTTATCTTACCCTGTGAAAAATATCACCATTTCACATTTATCTTGAAAAATAAACATAAATGTAAGATAAATAAATGTATTTTGAGCATTGATGAAAACTATAGAAAAAATTAAGAACTGCCTTATTATACTATAGTTGCATCTGGTTAAACGCGTTCAACAAAAATCAAGCCTTAAAATTTGGTAGTAGACCGGCTCCATTTTAACAACAAACCAAAACTATGTGAAAAAGCAATGGTGAAGAAAACAAACAGCCAAACATACAAGCTGAGTTCAGAAATGGCTCTGGAGCTGAGAATAGATGTTGATGTAAAAGAGATGAACTGTGTCCTAATCTTTTTAGACAGATGCATATCATGTTTAGCATAATGGAGCAGAAAGTTATCAAAACAACTGTTCTATAGCAGAAACAAAGATGCAAACAGTAATAATCTCCTACAATACGGGTCTCTATCATTGCACTGGTTGGAATATGAAATAATCATGATTTTGTTTTTTTATTCTTTTGTCAGAAGGGATACGGTGCCGTCTCTTGTAACAGTGTACCTTGGTCGCCAGCGTCAGGAGGAATCCAACCCAAACGAAGTCGTTCGGAAAGCAACACAGATCACTATTCATCCTAACTTCAGTTATTCTACTGCAGACAATGACATTGCTCTTATAAGGCTTTCTGGACCAGTGAATTTCACCAGCTACATCTCACCAGTCTGTCTAGCTGCCTCAGACAGCACCTTCTACAGCGGGGTTGAGTCCTGGGTAACTGGCTGGGGAAACATTGGAGATTTTGGTAATTAAAACATAACAAACTTTATTTTAAAGCAAGAGAAAGTGTCAACGTAGTGCTGACATTAGTTTTGTTGATGTAAATCATCACAAAACTGCATAATCTCTTTTCATTAGAAAACTTCTGACAGTTCCATGATATTGTCACACAATTGTTTTCTTATCTGTTTTTGGTTTAAAAACTGAATTTGTTGTTCATCTAGAACCCCTTCCATCACCTGGAAACCTTTCGGAAGTGGAGGCTCAGATTGTGGGAAATGGTCAATGCAGGTGTGACTATAGTGACCAAGGTTATATAAGGATTACAGACAACATGATATGTGCTGGGTTTCAAGAAGGAATTAAGGGACCCTGTTTTGTAAGTCTTAACTATTTGTATCCGTTTTACTTTCTGCTCTTATTCCATCTTCTTACCTGCTGTAAACAATTTGTTTCTGCTCTTAAAGGGAGATTCTGGAGGTCCACTGGTTAGTAAGCAGGGTGATCGCTGGATTCAGGCTGGAGTTGTGAGTTTCGGTGTTGGTTGTGCTGAGCCCAAATTCCCAGCAGTCTATGCCAGAGTTTCCCAGTATGAGAGCTGGATTAACAGTTTGATCAGCATCAACCAGCCAGGCTTCATTACTTTCACATCTGAAGGGACTGACAGTGACCTCAGCATTTCCTGCACAACCCCAACAACAACACCAACTAAACCTAAACGTAGGTACCTATTTCCAAAAATTGTGTAAAATAAAAAACCTATGTTTGCAACATGTGGGAGTAGTTGCCTAGTGTATAGACAATTGTGCTTAAGTCTCTGAGGTTCTGAGTTCAAGCCCCACTCCGATGGACTGCCACTCTGGCTCCATGAGCAAGAGCCTTGACCCCAGACTGCTCCCGGGACACAGCACAATGGTAGCCCACTGCTCCCCAAGGGGACGGGTTAAAGGCAGAGGGTTCTTTTCATTGCTCTGTACTTGTTGCTGTGTAATGAAAATAAAACATAAAAATTGGAAAATAAAATCCCAAAAAAACTCTTACCTGACACAACTGACAAAATATCAGGGGACTGGCGGCCTAGTGGTTAGGGCATTGCGCTTGGATCCCAGAGGTTCTGAGTTCATGCCCCACTCCCACAGATGACCAATCTGGGTCTCTGAGCAAGACCGTTAACCCCCAATTGCTCCCCGGGGATGGGTTAAATGCAGAGGTAAATTTCTCCAATGTGAAATAAAAAAAAAAGGTCAATTAAATTAAATTAATTCAGCAGCTTTCATCCTTGTCTGAGCTTGTGTGGCACCACACAAGCTTAAATATCAGGCCAAAACAACCCAACTTGTTGGATTTCACTTATTTGCTATCGGACAGGTCGAAATGTTGTTCCAAGCACACAACAAGTTCTCTCATACCAAAGCACAGACGGTAGGAATATCATCCTTAAGATTATCTTAAGGCCAGCACAACTGTCAGGAAGTGCAGAGCAGGGCAAATATCAAATTTGCCATGAGAACCAGCCTCCAGATCAGTTTTATATATTTCAAGGTAATAATTATGGGAGAATTATCCTGCCATAATGCAAGAGCTCATAATTTCAATTTGAGAAAAGAATTTCATCTTCTTGCACTCAAAACTTATAATGCTCACACTCAAAACATGCGCTCTCTCTCAAATATTTTCTCTTCTCTCTCAAATCTTTGTTTCTTCTCTCAGATTTAATGCTTCTTGCACAGATTTTTTCTCCTCTCGCTAGCTTCCTTCACTTCGCGCACAAACCGCGCTCTGCTCGAGTCTCAGCAGAGAGACT